AGACTGTTGAGGGTTCAGCCTCCTGATGAGTCGGTGAAACTCCGACGAAACAGTTTGTCACAGCCCCTCGGTTGTATTCCTCTTCTCTCTCTCTGCCTACGGTTTACCGGGCAGTTCTGTTTGTGACGATATATATAAGGGGGTCACTATCACTACGGACCACCATTAACCTGCGTTGTTACTGTCCACTTTTTATCATCGCGAATCGACCCTACAGCCATATGCCCGTCTTACGGGCACGCATGTGTGCATCTCCTAACGAGGTCCTAAGACCAGTACCCCCAGGCGCGCTACCATAGGTAACCCCTCATCTATCGGAGCCGACTAGTCTGCAGGCTCAATCGTGCTACCTTCCCACCCCGTAGCCTCTCGAGGGGACCCTTCCTCTTTTTTTTTTTTCTTTTTTTTTTCTTCCTCTTCCTACTGGTTGCGACGTTCTATCATTCCCCTACATGTTACCCCCTTACCCTTCCCCCAAATTTTCCTCATCTGGGTTTCTAATGGGGGCAACCTCTAGTTATAGCCTATGAAGTACAGCCCTCGGATCTCGTAAGCTAACCTTGAAGTCCATCCTTGGGAATCATAAGTACCAGATACCCTCCTGTCTACAACTCCCTCACTACCTATCCCGTTGGTTGTCCATAAGCCGGCTCCGGGGGCAGAGCCCACTCAGACTGTGTGCAGAGTCTTGATCACCAGTTCTCTCCTCACATTTCTAGGCCATGGACTCTCCAGATGGTGGCTCTTATGTGTGGGAAACTCCTGAAAGTACCCAGACCACCCTAGAGACACCTCATTGGTCTAGCCCATAGCAGGGATGGAAGGAGAGAGCCAGGTTCAGGACTCTGCACGGGTGCCACAGCTTCGTTAATCCAACCATCAAGACTCCTTTTTACCACAGTTTCAATATTCCATCTGTCGCAACAGTTGTGTTCAGTCCTAACAGTTCTATAATAATGAATCTCTATATTATATGAAGGTATGAACTTAAAATTACTTAACTCAAACTTCAAACTTCAAAGTTAGGCTTTTCTTTTTCTGATTCTTTAGTCTTGTGCCTGCTTTGCACTGTTTGCAACTCTGCATGTCTGCTAGTTAAATGTGCTGCTTGATTTGCTCCAAGACAAGACAGGTGCTCTGCTGCCTGAACTACAAAGTGCAGAGCAGGTAAGTGCCTGCCAACAACCCACCCCCCCACCCCCACCCCTCTCCCGTTTGTTGTTTTTTTTTTCTTTTTTTTCCTGGACATTTTGTACCTTCCGACACCGGTCCGGACTGTCCGGATGTTCAGTGACGTCCGGATCACCGGGCAGCCCCGACCATTCCAGACACTGGCCCAGAAGACAGTCTGGGAGTGTCCGGTGTCCGCGTCTGCGGTTACCATGTGTTAGGGCTACTCTCATTAAAAAAACAAATAAATAAACAAGTAAACAAACTTATTCTGTTTTTTCAAAAGGTGTTTTTAAAGCTCCTTGAAAATTTTCTGCTTTTCCAACTTTTTTCAAGTTATCTGTGTTCAGTTTGTGTAACTGAGTTCGCATCAGCAGGAAGTTGGGTACATAGGTGTGCAAGCCTGCAAGGTGCTTCTTTGGCTGTTACAGCACCTGTAGTACCTGTACCCCTTTTTTTTTTTTTCCTGCACCCTTCTGTCAATGCAACAGCACTTAGTCTGCTTCATTGCAGGTGGAACAGAGGGGTGCTGGCTGTAGGTCGTGCCGCGACAGGAGTGACACAAGTCACATCAATGACAGCACCCTTGGCAGGACTGTGCAGTGTGCACGTAGTGTTACCCAGCCTTTTTTTTTTTCCGGACCGGCCGCGTAGGGCATGTCTGGTATGCCCGGATCATGTCCAGAGATGATTCTGGACAACGTGTGTTTAGGGCATCATACCCTGCCGTACACGGATGGCCTCGAACCGGCACCCTCCGCCACAGGAACGAAGCATCGTAACCACTACAACCCTTGGAGGTGTTATAAAAACTGGATCCATACCGGTCGTGATATCCAGCCCACCTCCAGGGCTGCAGCGTCCTTGAACTCAACACCACACACCCAACGCACACCACACCACGGACTTGACAATCACGCACACTCCGTTGAACAACACGTAGCCCACCACCGCTACCAAACCTGCTCACTCTTGCGGGCCAACTTGCCTGCTGGTTCACAGGCGCCTCACAGTGATTCTGGACAACGTGTGTTTAGGGCATCATACCCTGCCATGCACGGACGGCCTCGAACCGGCACCCTCCGCCACAGGTCGGGACGTCCGCACCGGTCCGGACTTGGGTCCAGTTCCGGGTCCGGATCCAGGTCCGGGGTAACCATGAAACAAAGAGATAAATAAAAGTGTTACAGTCATATATACCATCTCGATAGGCCTCAACATCCTCTCCAAGCAGCAAGAAGGAGGTGGCCAAAATGGTTGGGCCAGCACCACCTGTACCGGCCGTGAAATATGAAAACCTGCAAGCCGACCCCTTCCCCTCACCCCAGCCCAATTGACATGCCAGTGAAAACACAAACAAGGCACACAGAAGAGGAGGGGGGCAAAGAAAAGCACACACAGGAAAAGAATTCACACATAAGTATTGCACGGATTCCCATCGAGTCATTATGTACTATATACTACATAGTCACATATCCATGAACTAAAAGAGTGCACTTTGCGAAACAAACGAGAAAAATACAGGAGGCAAACATGAAGAGCACACTGTTATCATAAACATATATAGATGCATACATGGTAGCCGGCGTTTTTATCATAAGAAAATATATATGTGACATTATGTGTATATGGTAGCCGACATTCGGCCGGGGCCGAACGGCCGAAGCCAAACGCCCAAACGTTCGGCCCCTCCTGTAGACGCATTAGGCCGTTCAGGCCTACCGCGGAGCCAAAAAAAAAAAAGAATCTGAAAAAACCTAGGCTACCGGCCAGGTCGCCTGGGTCACCCTATTTTTCCGGGCGGCCCGGCCGTGCAAGGACCAGGGAAGGTCCCAGCCGAAGAAACGAAAACAAAACCCCAAAAAAAACTATGTCATGCTGTGTTAAAATCCGGGCCGCCCGGCGGCCCAGCCTTCGTCCGGCAGGGGTCCCGGGCGGCCCGGCCGGTTGGGTCCCCCGGTTTGGCGCCGGGCGGGCCCAGCGCAATTTTGCGCGGGGGGGGGGGGGAGGCCTTTTTCGCCCAGTCGGAACATCCCCGGCCCCCGTGAACACTTCTAAACATTTTGTTTCGAACTCAGGCCCAAGTGAGGCCGGGGGAAGGGCTTCTTCGGCAACTGATCTCAGCACCCGACCTGCAAAGACCGGCGGCTGCGATCAGCCGCAAGAAACGACCTCGTTTCCCACCATGCTGGCCTACCACGCCGCGTTCGAATTCGAACGTGGTATCCTGCACTGCGAAGCTGCCGTCACAAAGCCCGCCCGTCGTAGCTGCCGTCTCCAAGCCTGCCGTCGTCGCTGCTCCTCCTCGTCGAGCTGCCATCGTCGCTCCCAGTTGAGCTGCCCCGTCAAGAACGAATCCACGTCGTTGCTGCCCGTGAAGCTGCTAGCGCCATCGGGGTGAAGCCGCCTTCACCCCCTTCCTCTTCTTCTTCTTCTTCCCCTCCTCCTCCTTGCGTCTTCTTCTTCTCCTCTCCTCCTCCTCCTTTCCTCCTCTTCTTCTTCTCCTCCTCCTCCTCTTTCTCCTCCTTTCGTCTTCTTCTCTTCTCCTCCTCCTCCTCCTCCTTCGTTATCCTCTTTTTTTTTTTTTTTTTTTTGGTCATCGCCATTGAAATCCGGCAGGTCCTTCTCCCCCTCCTCCTCTCCTCTTCTTTGTCTTCTTTCCTCCTTTCGTCTTGTCCTTCTCTCCTCCTCCTCCTCCTCCTCCTCCTCCTCCTCTCCTCTTCTCCTTCTCTCCTCCTCCTACTCCTCCGCTTTCATGTTCTCCTTCTATCCTCCTCCTCCACGTCCTCCATCGTCCTCTTTTTTTTTCTTCATCTCCATACACTGCCGGCAGGTCCTCCTCCTCCTCCTCCTGTCTTCTTCTCCTCCTCTTCCTCCTCTCGTCTTCTCCTCCTCCTCCTCCGTTCGTCTTCTTCTCTCCTCCAGCTCCTCCTTTTGTCTTCTTCTCTCCTGCTCCTCCTCCTCCTCCTCCTCCTCCTTTAGTCTCCTTCTCTCCTCCTCCTCCTCCTCCTCCTTTCGTCTTCTTCTCTCCTCCTCCTTTCTCCTCCTCCTCCTCCTTTCGTCTTCTTCTCTCCTCCTCCTTTCTCCTCCTCCTCCCGTTTTCATGTGTTTCCTCTAGTACGTGAAGTGCCACGCGGCAACAGGACGCTGACAGCTGCCACGTGCCGGCATAGGCAAGCTGCAGTGAAATCCCGCCGCCAGTTGACACACTGATGGGCGGGCTTCCTCCCTCTCTCTCTCTCTCTCTCTCTCTCTCTCTCTCTCTCTCTCTCTCTCTCTCTCTCTCTCCTCCTCCTTCATCATCCTCTTTTCTTTCTTTTTTTTTCCGTCATCGCCATCGACATCCAGCAGGTCCTAACCTCCTCCTGCCCTCTTCTTTTTCTTCTCTCCTCCTCCTCCTCCTCCTCCTCCTCCTCCTCCTCCTCCTCCTCTCATCTTCTTCTTCTCTCCTCCTCCTCCTCCGCTTTCGTGTTCTCCCTCTCATCCTCCCCCTCCTCCTCCTCCTCCTCTATTCGTCTTCTTCTCTCCTCCAGCTCCTCCTTTCGTCTTCTCCTCCTCCTCCTCCTCCTCCTTCTCCTCCTCCTCCTTTCGTCTCCTTCTCTCCTCCTCCTTTCATCTTCTTCTCTCCTCCTCCTTTCTCCTCCTCCTCCTCCTACCTATTTCATGTGTTTCTTCAAGTACGCAAAGTGCCATGTGGTGTTGGCAACATGACGCTCACAGCTGGCACGTGCCGGGATAGGCGAGCTGCACGGCCAGTTGACGTGCTGACGGGCGAGATTCCTCCTTCTCTCTCTCTCTCTCTCTCTCTCTCTCTCTCTCTCTCTCTCTCTCTCTCTCTCT